GTAACATATTCTTGAAACATCTAATTGGGTTCGCAATAGTTTTAACAGTGGAACAATCAGCTACTTGATGAAAGTTAACATGAACAAATTTCTTTACAAATACGATAAAATATGAAAAAAAATTACCATGATTTTATTTCATGTCTTGTATTATAACAAAATCAAAGAAATATTTCAGTACTGTAAATAAAGAGAACTTCCAAGGGACTTGCATCCCTAAAGACGCAATTTACTACTTCAAACAAAAAGAGAACAAAGACACTAAAATAAATATTAACATGATATAATGGTAGTGATTTCAATATAGTAGTTCAAATTATATTTTATTTATAACTCATTTAAATAATTTAATTGGTGATAAGATGTTAAACATTCGATAGAAGTCGATATAAATTATTATTGGTTTTTATTTTCTTAATTAAGGAGATAAAGAGAAATATTTTTATTTTTTTTTTATAGAATTTATCATATGTTAATTTTCATAACGAAACACTATAAAAAATTATACAAATAATGTTTAGGATAATTCATTGATACTTGAAAACTTAGAAGGAAGAATAAGTTCAATCATGTAGATTAAATTTCACATCAATTAGCATGATAAGAGATAGTCCCTTAATAAAGTATGAAAAAATCTCATCACTTAAATTAACTTTTGAGATTTAATAAACTATACTTTTAAATTATTTTTGAATATGAAATTTCTAGATGAAATCGTCTTTCAAATAGTGTGGATAGATGAAAACCTTATTTTTTAATTTATAATTGCTTAAAACAGTATGGTTAAATCGAAAATCTTGTAAATATTTACCGATATTTCTTTTTGTTGCTCTATTATTAAAAATTAAGTTTACTCTTCTGTGTAAACTTCTAATTGACTAAACCAAAATTAGGTAATTTTACCAAATGGGAAAAGGAACGTTACAAATGAGTATTTGCATGCACTACTCCCTGCAAAAGTAGTCTAATCATGAAAAATTTAAAGGAGTGTTATGGTTAAGAGAATGTGAGGTCCACGTGTATCAATGACACTTTGCATTTAAGAATTACAAATAATGTAGGAGTTTTTCTGAAATGACATATATACCCTTGGTCAACCATCTTTCCTTTTCTATATATATATATATATATATATATATATATATATATATATATATATATATATCAACTGACAGTCAGTCACTGAGTACTGAATAGGGTCAATCCAGCCCGGGGAAAGATCCATCCCCAGTATAAATGATTCGGGCAAGATCCATGCCCAGGGAAGATCCATCCCTCAATATAAATCACCGCGCTCATTGGGGTGTGTACAGACTCGGAGGGGCTCCTTTAGCCCAAGGCTATAATAATCCAGATCCAAGCATAAATCAATAAAATATGCTGCGGCGTACAACCCGATCCCATAACTGCCAGCCTCACTCAGTCATCAATCTCTCTACTCTCTCTCTCTCTCTCTCTCTCTCTCTCTCTCTCTCTCTCTCTCTCTCTCTCTATCACTCTCACAATATCATAAAACTAGCCCAAAAATAATGATATGATATATCAATAAATAGCAACAGAGACTGAGATATGATATGCAATGAATAAATATGATTGAGTACGGAATTTCAATATAATCAATAAGTCAACAGCAAGAAACGACCACTATGGATCCCAACAGCACCAGCATATAGCCTAAACATGATTTCTAGCATGAATGGCAACTCAATTACTTTATCACATGATAAAAATACGGATATCAACAAGATAAATCCACTATACAGTTTTAAGGAATCGACCAGGTCATAGGTCTTACAGTGCACGCCCACACGCCCGTCACTTGGCATGTGCGTCACCTGAACACCTATCATATAACATATAATTCAGGGTTTCGAACCCTCAGGGCCAAGTTTAGAAGTGTTACTTACCTCATATCGCGCAAATCTCTACTCCAACACACCTTTACCTCGCGAAACGGCCTCCGAATGCCTGAATCTAGCCACAAACAATTTGATACAATCAACACGAGCTAAATAAATCAATTCCATAAGAAAGTACTAAGCTTTTAATCAAAAGTCAAAAAGTCAACTCAAAGGTTGGCCCCACGTCTTGGAATCAGGTTAAAGTCACAAAATTTGAACACCCATTCGACCACGAGTCCACCCATACCAAAATTACTAGAATCCGATATCAAAATCTCGATCAAAATCTCAAAATTTGGCCTAAGAACTTTTCTCCACTTTTGCCAATTTTTCACCCCAAATCACCAATTTAATGGTGAAATCAAAGGGATAATCATGGAAATTAACCAAAACTAGGTAAGAATCACTTACACCAATCACCCACGTGAAAATCTCTCCAAAAATCGCCTCTTACCGAACTCCCAAAATCAAATTTGTGTTATGAGCTCAAATCCTCATTTTTGAAATTTAATACTGCTGCCCAGTTATCCTTCATCGTGAACGCGGCCATCATCCCGCGCTCGCGTGGCACAAACCAGCCTGCCCCACTTACTTACCTTACGCGAACGCGGAGACCTCCACGCGAATACTAACCTCTGCTTCCTCCAACCTACGCGATCGCGTCCTTCCTCACGCGACCGCAAAGAACGAAACGCGACTCCATTGCTGCTCCACTTCTCATATGCAAAGAGCGCAAATGAACTATACTTTTTATCATAATAATAATAATAATAATAATAATAATAATAATAATATTTTAAAATATCTTGAGAAATAATTTTATAAATGAATAATTAATGACAAGGGTAAAATAAGAAAAAAATATTTTTGTCTTGATTTGTTAAAGTGTACAAGTAAATATCAAAATATATGTTTAGTATAATGGATAAGTAGTAGTGAACGGATGAAGTACTTTCTTTTCACCTATTTTTGAAATGGGCTAATAGCATGTTTAACCAAGCTTCTAAACTTAGCTTATTTTGAGAAGTGTTTTTCTCAAAAGTACTTTTCAAAAAAGTACTTTTGGTAATAAGCAATTTGTGTTTCACTAATTAATTTGAAGAGCATATTTGAGCAATAATTAGTGTTTGACCAAGCTTTTAAAAACTGCTTCTGTGTGTAGTTTTTCTCAAAAGTGCTTCTTAGAAAAGTACTTTTGGAGAGAAATTATTTTTTTCTGCTTCTCCTCAAAAACACTTTTTTCCTTCTAAAAGCTTGGTCAAACACCTCAATTTTAAGGAAAAAAGAAACACTTTTGACAAAAAAAAAAAAAAAGAGGCACTTTTGGCCCCAAAAGAAGGGTGGCCAAACAGACTATAAACCAACCATTTCATTCTTCAAACTATACCGTAGTAAGAGAGAGAGAGAGATTATCGAGCAACATTTCATTTTTCAAACTATACCGTAGTAAGAGAGAGAGAGATTATCGAGGATTTGGAGTTATAATCATAGTCTCAAAATTTCATGAAATTCTCAAGAGTATTTTTGTCTACCTCATTCTTGAAGATTTCAAATTCCATTTCATCCACCAAAGAACTTCACGGTCACCTCATCAGAACTGAAAAACACACCGACCCTTTTGCTATTTCAGACGTTATCAAATTCTATTCTTTCTTCGCAACATCCGTACACAAAGCCCTTCTCTCTTTTAATCAAATTGAACGACCAACATTGCCAATTTGGAATTACATGATCCGTGGGTTGTGTAAGAGTGATCAACCCATTGCTGCACTCCACATGTTTGGCAAAATGCGTCAACAAGGATTTCATGGCAATAACCTCACTTTTATTTTCATCTTCAAGGCTTGTGTACAACTTTCGGATATTGTTGTTGGACGTGCAGTTCATGTTAATGTTCTGAAGCTTGGGTACCAGTCTTACTTATATGTGTGTAATACTCTGATTTATTTGTATGGTTCTTGTGGTGATTTAGCTGGGGCTAGAATAGTGTTCGATGAAATGTCTGATAGAGACTTAGTATCATGGAACTCATTGATTTGCGGATACAGTCAATGTAATAGGTTTCGTGAAGTATTGAGTCTTTTTGGTTCAATGCAGGCAGAAAATGTAAAGGCAGATGCGGTGACTTTGGTCAAAGTAGTACTAGCTTGTAGCCATATAGGGGATATTGACACTGTGGATTTTGTGGCAAAGTACATTGAGGATAATTGTGTGAGAATTGATGTCTACTTGGGGAATACATTGATTGATATGTATGGTAGACGTGGATTGGTTTTCTTAGCTGAAGAAGTTTTTGCTAAGATGGAGGAGAGAAATGTTGTTTCGTGGAATGCCATGATCATGGCATATGCTAAAGCAGGGGATTTAATGGCTGCAAGGGAGCTTTTTGATAAGATGCACAACAGGGATGTGATTTCTTGGACTTCTATGATCACGGGATATTGTCAAGCTAACCGATTTTCAGAAGGTATTGCACTTTTCCAAGAGATGATGGCAATTAAGGTTAAGCCTGATGAAATTACAGTCGCTAGCGTACTCTCTGCTTGTGCACATTTAGGTACACTTGATGTGGGTAAGGCAGTGCATGATTATGTTCGTCAGCATGGCATTAAAATGGATATTTACGTAGGGAATGCGCTGGTGGATATGTACTGCAAATGTGGATCTGTTAACACAGCCTTGGAAGTATTTTTCAGCATGAACAGAAAGGACACTGTTTCTTGGACTTCGATAATCTCGGGCCTTGCAGTGAACGGTTTTCATGACAATGCTCTTCAACTCTTCTCCCAGATGTTAGAAGAACGTTGTAAGCCAACTCACGGTACTTTTATCGGCGTACTACTTGCTTGTACTCATGCAGGTTTGGTGGATAAAGGTTTGGAATACTTCGATTGTATGGAAAAACATCACGGCTTGGTACCAGAAATGAAGCATTATGGTTGTGTTGTTGATTTGTTGTGCCGCTCTGGTAATTTAAATAGAGCGTTTGAGTTTATAAGTCTTATGCCTATGACTGCAGATGTGGTTTTGTGGAGAATGTTGCTTAGTGCTTGTAAACTTCATGGTAATGTGGTTCTTGCTGAAATTGCTGCGAACAAACTTCTTCAATTAGATCCTGGTAATGGTGGTAATTATGTTCTGTCATCGAGCACTTATGCAACTGCAGAGAGGTGGGATGATGCAATGAAAATAAGGCAATTGATGAATGACGATGCAGTACAAAGGCCATTAGGCTGGAGTTCAATTGAAGTAAATGCGATCGTCTAGCATTCAATGAACCATGTCTTTGAAATGTAAAGTATCTGAAACAAAGGCTTCCGTCGCATGGTACTATTTGTACATATTATCACAAGATTGAGTACACAGGTGCAATAGTTGCTGAAGGCACGTGAAATCAAGGTGCACATCTTGTGAGCAAGAGTTATTGTTCTCTAGCTTCCCTTTTGGATTAAAAAGCTTAATATGAGTTGCCAACTCATGCATGAGTTTGGTTTGCTTTTCTTCAGCACTATAAAGATGAAGGTCTCGAAATGGATACTGGTTGTTGTTTGACACCTAAAAGAGCATATTAAGTTTGATTCTGGAGTAGAGAATCGTAGTTATGATCTCTGCTCCCTGGAGGTTATAGATGGTTGTTGTAATTTGTACATCGTATATCAGGTGCATATTGCAAGTATGCTACCAGTCTAAAGCTCTTTGCATTTTTAGAAGTCAAGTCGCTACTGCCTCTGTGCCACATCTAACATTGTAAAATTGAAGTGATGGTCGCAGCATACTCCTTCGAAGATAGGACTGTGCATGTAGTTGTAACAGCATAATTGGAAGGCATGAAGCTGCTTGCTGATTGATTATTTACTTTTGCAGTCATACTGTATATTTCTAAATCATGTTCTTATCTGTTATTTATCCTAGTGATTATGGGTTGACATTAAACCTTGGGTAAAAATTCTAGATATGGACAAGGCAGTTTTCATGGAAATTTTTGGACGAGTGTATGAATGATCAATAGCTCTACATTATTCATGCCCATAAAAACCTTCTCTACAAGTTCAAGTTTTTCTTTTCTTTTATTCATACTTCTAGCTGAAAGAGGGAAAATGGATACCAACTTTCAGTTTAGGCTACACTACCAGTAATTTCTATTCCACGCAGCTATAGTTTGAACATGACATTGATGGCATTTCCACCGCGAGAACTGGTCTCAAAGGCTTCTTCCACCCCCTCTTGAGTAAACCTATACCTGTGGGTTATGAGAGGCTTCACATCTATTTTACCAGTTCTGAGAAGTTCAATGCAGAGTGGCCATGTATTTCTATATCTGAAAATGCCTATGACATCCACCTCCCTATGACACAGAGAAAAAAAAATGACTGGTTGAAAATTTCAAAAGGTATTTTAGTGAGCATCTAGAAATCATAGAATCACAAATACCTTGCAGCAGCTGAAGTAAGAGGGAGAGTCATCTCGCTTTGGCCTAATCCAACGAGGCAAACCTTACCACCAGGATGGGTGGTTTGCAGAGTCATCAACATAGTCTTGTTAAAACCAACACAATCAAAGCTCATATCCACAGGACCTCCCATTGCATTGCATATATGTCCCACTTCATCTTCCACATCCTGCACCTCCAACATTGCATGAAACAGCCATATTTGGCCATTAAGGGAAAGACTACCACAATATATTGGAACAAGAAGATGAGAACCTGTACATTGGAAGAAACTTTAATGATCTCATCAGCACCAAGGTCTTTGGCAAAAGATAAACGCTGATCATCTATATCAACAATGACTATCTTCGGTGATCCAAAAGCACGAGCTGCCAGCATAGTGACAAGGCCGATAGGTCCTGCACCTATAATGATTATTTTGGTTTCTGGACCTACCTTGGCACGACGACAAGCATGAACACCAACACTCAGAGGTTCACACATTGCCCCTTCCTCCAAGCTTACATTATCCGGTAATTTAAAACACAGATCTGCAGGATGTACCACCTGATGCAGACAAATTCCACACTTCTTATGAAGCCTAGTAAAGGATTTGAAGAGAAGTAAATTCTTTATCAGTACGGGTCTCTGGACAACTCTCAGACCTCAGCTATCCTAAGACTATTCTTGAGGATAAAGAGGCTCTGAGAAAGTCTGAAGTGAAGCCCAGCCTCAAGTATCCTTTTATTCTACTTTGGGTAAAAGGATTAAGCAGATACATTACCTGATTGGCTAAAGCACCATTAGTTGGAGGAGAGCCAAAGAATTTCATTTGACGGCAGAGATTGTAGCGACCGTCTTTGCATAAGTGACACTGCCTGCAACTAATACCAGGCTCCAAAGCTACGCGATCGCCGATCATGAGGGACTTCACCTGGCTACCAACTTGCTCTACAATTCCAGCACACTCATGCCCAAGTACCATCGGCCTTTTAACCACGAAATTTGCTACTCTCATATTCTGGATCATACAAATCATAGTAGTTTAGCTAAGTACCTTATAACACTAGCTCTGTATAACCAGTCTTCTATCTAGCTTGAATCATCAAGCATTAATAATTGAAGTACTCTTTTTTTGACAATTAAATAGACTAAACTTACCTTGAAATGATGGATATCACTTCCACATATACCCACTGCTTTAATTTGAATCTTGACATCATAAGGACCTAATCCAAGTAAGTGTTGTATCAGCAAAGCTAATAAATTTCAGTAAGACAGAGATCTAAGAGCAAGAACAGAAATACCAACCAAGAGGTGGGAGACTATATGGCTGAATTCGAAGTGTTTTGATACCAAGAAGCCAAACTGCCATGTTCTCTTCTTCTGTTATACTGTTTTCTGCATCATCAGTTGATATGTGTTCCTTGATCACCATTCTTATTCACTGCCACAACGTTGCAAAGGGTGATTTAACTAGTACTTTTATTTGGGGAACCATATATATCTTGCCATGTCGGATTGGTCGGCCAAGACTTATCATCTTTCGTTATAACAGAAGTTGTGAAATGGACGTCAAAGCAGAAACCGTGAGACTTGAAATCTTCTTTTCTGATGTTGTTGTCCTATTGACAAGGCTAGCACTATCATGACCAATTGGATTGATAGTTATAATTGAATATATACACATATGAGTGACATATTTGTATTATTTCAATAATTCAATAATTGGGAGCAAGAGCGAAGCTATGTTGGCCCCTATGTTGGCCCAAGGGTGGTCAGATGACCACCCTTCGACGAAAGATTATACTAAGTGGGCTTTTGGACATAAGAATTGTAAAATTCCAAAAAAGAGTGAAAGTTTTTTCAAGTGAAAATGATATTTGAAATTTAGAGTAGTGTTTGGACATGAATATAATTTGGTAAAAACTTACCCGCACCGGGTGTTTACACCAAACCAATAGTTGACTTGTTTAATACCACAAATTTCAAAAGTATTCATTTTTTCTTAAACTCCGTACCCAGTCAAACGGGTCACATAAATTGGAACGGGGGCGGTACTTGTTATTGATTAAAAATAGACTTCGAACACCCTTGCATAGCCCATTGGCAAAGGGTGTTCAAACTTTGAACACCCTTATTGAATTTCCTGGCTTCGCCACTTATTGAGAGACGGAAGGAACAACTACAAGTCCAAGCAAGCTATTTGCACTCAAATTAGCTTCATTAACTTTAATTAGAATTGAGCTCAAGATTATTTAATATAATTCTGTAGCGGATATTCTATATATACTCATGAAACAGGTAAAAAGTCCTTATGAATTCTGCACTCTCAAATTTCCATCCATGTAACATTCATATTTGCTTAAGTTAATTTTAACCCATGTTTTTTCAAATGACAAAAGAGTGCTGTAGGCAGTATGAACTCCGACAGTTTAATTAGAATATCACTTTGCGTTATACAACTACTTCATTAAACGCTTGACACCATATATGATATACTATTAAAAGCACCTGTTCTATCTTGTTTAGTGATAGTGACACTGTAAAACATTATGAGGCTTTACTACTATTGGTGGGTTATTTCAATTTTCAACTCTCTCAATTGATACGTGCAGTTGAACTACTGAACGAGTAATTTATAATCACCACATGATTATGAATATTATCTCTATAAAGGAGGAAAAAAGACTCTGTTTTTCGAGTATTAATGGCTCCACTTTGGTTTTTTAGAAAGTAAACTGTTCTCTCTTTGTTTATAGAGAATAAAGTGATTGTAAAAAATCTGGTCTTGCCAAAATAAGGACCGATTTCCGGCCAGAAGAGCCTCTCATTTTCATTGATACTAGTCTATACGTGCATTCAATATTAATGAGTAAGAATATTTAAAAATTACATAGATACTACTATTAATAATTGTATCTTGAGTTATAAATAAAAGTTAAAGAAAATAGTGTAAATTTCTAAAATAATAGAATATTTACTCTATTTGGCTAAGTTTATAAGGGAATAAATATTGCTCCACATAAGTCCTTGTAACCTTATCTCAAATTATTTACTCATTTATTATTATTTGAAGAACATTTTTTTTGTTTCAAGAGAATGACTTGGAATTAGAGTTGAAAATTTATACCAATTCAGTCAGATTTGCAATGTTATTGTACAAGTGGGATTTGTATTAGAAGATTCTATTAGTAGCACTTCAAATCCTAAATGTTAGAAAAAATTTATTAATTTTTTTTCCGGAAAAGGGCCAAAAATGTCCCTCTACTATCTAAAATAAGTCATATCTGACCCCCGTTATACTATTTAATTAAAAAAGTCCTTACCGTTTGTGCCCAAAAATTAAAATGTCCCTCCATCGTTTACTCTGCCATTTAAAATTAAAATATCCACTTGGCAATCTTTTATTGGACGATTTAAACCTACCCCCTATTTTTTAATTAACCCACGACCCGGTTCATTTTATCCGACCCACCCGTATATCACTTAAAGAACACCCCAAAATAGATCGGTCCTCATTCCTTCCTTCAACCACGAGAACAAAAGCTAGGGTTCTTCAAGAAAGATTACTCTTAGTAGAGGGCTACTCCAATTTCTTTCATTATCAGTTATTTGATCCAATCCACGCTGTAAATATTGTCCAAAAAGGTGGTTTGGCATGTCGAAAAATAGTTATTCATCCAAAAGGAAGTGCCACTGTGGAAATTTTGCTAACCACTTCACTTCGACTACTCTTTTTAACCCTGGACGGAGATTCTACAAGTGTCCAAAACTACAAGTAAGTGATTAATATTAAATTTTGTCATGTTTGAAATTTTTATATTAACGAATTGTTTCCCTTATTTGTTTGAATTGTATTTTGATGTTATAGGATACTTCATGTGGTTATTGGGAATGGTCAAATGATCCTATTCCCGATAGAGCGCTTGTTGTAATCAACAATCTAAGGTCTCAGTTGGATGCGGCAAATGTTAAAATCAGTACTTTGAAGTCGTCGTTGGACAATGTTAACATTGAAAGGGATAAATTGAAGGAGAAATTGATCGCTGTGAAGGCAAGAAACCATGTTCAAGTGACTAAATTAGAAGAGAAAATCCTCAAGATGAAGATTTTTACTATTATTTTATGCACCCTTTTTGTTGGAATTGTAGCCGCTAGAGTAATGAATTGAATTTTAGCTGCTAGTGGATTGTTGGAATTTTGTTGGAATTATGTAGGCTCATATATCATATGAGTTCACTTTTGTTTAGACTACTTCAAGTCTTGTAACATTGATGTTTAAGTTCTAATGTTAATTGCTTGCTTTTGTTCGCTCTGCTGTAGATTTAAGTTGAAGTTTAAGTTACTCCATATTTTTGTTCAACTTTTAAGTTGGTCTTGATGTTAACTTGAAGTTTGAGATGCTACATATTAGTTGGTTGTTCATATAGTAAACATACTGCATATGTTTACAGCAAAACTGCATATTCAAAACTGCAGATTGAAAACAGTGAACATACATGAACATTAAATGCATAACTGCAGATTCAACATAGTGAACATACTGAACATGTTTACAGCAAAACTGCATATTCAAAACTGTGAACATACTGAACATTAAATGCAAAACTGCAGATTCAAAATTGTAGATTCAACATAGTGAACATACTGAACATTAACTGCAAAACTGCAGATTCAAAACTGCAGATTTAACATAGTAACTGCATATTTCATTACACAAAATAAATCCAGATTTGTGGAGACATGGATGCCATATTATACCCCCTAAATACTGTCACAAACATAGTGATAATATGACATCCAACCCTAACATTCAGCAAGAAGTCTTAACAAACTACACAAAATAGGAAATGTACTATCACATGGTAGTAATTACAACCCAACAAGCAGCCTATTTAGTTCTATTACAATAGACTTCAGTTGTCTCCCCTTCTTGGCTTCAGCTTATCCACTTTCTTTGTGCTTTGCATCTCCAGCTGAGTTCCAGTTACAACACCTTTTCCTTTCCATTTGAGGCCTGGTGGTTTGAAAGGAAGTGATGATGGGAGACTAACACCATTTGTATCACCAGTGAATGAAATTACCCTTACACTTGAAGTTTGAGGTGGTTTTTGCCTTTGCAGAAGTCTTGTTTTAGATTCCGACACAGTTGTTGGCCTTGTAACTACATCTGGATCAAGTTCAGGTTGCTCACACTCAGGGAATGGACTGTTTGATTGACTGTGCACTGATGGTATAGGCATGAACATAAAATTTGAGCCTTGAACACTCGACTAACTTGCTTGACTAGATTGGGGTGTTGTTAGGTGTATCTCTTCTTCGATTGTTGCCCCACACTTTTATCTTCATCAACTAGATGTCTAGCATTTGCCTTGCCCTTTTTGCCATAGGTGGCTATTGTTAACAAATAAAAAGAGTTAGATAAAGTAAATGTTAGTATTGTTAACAAGTAAAATAAGTTAGATATGGTGAGAGGTGTTACCTTCTCACAACCCCTTGCATTATGATTTGACTCTCCATAGTTGTTGCAAGTCATTACTCTCCCTTTTCTTGAAGCTGCCCATTCACCTTGCCTTTTGATTGCCTCATCTTTTTGTCTTGTTCTCTTGATTTTAGGTCTCCCAGCCATCTTGGCTAACTCAGGTGGTTCCATTGCTTGTGATGGATCTACCTTCCAGAATTTTTCACCCCTAACTGGCTGCAACTTGTACTTGTAGGTAAGCAGATATGCTTCTTTGCTGTACCACCACTTGATTTCATTCATAGGCTCCAACCTTTTTAATTGTAGGGATTTGATTGCATGTGGGCATGGGATTCCAGTAAGATCCCATCCCCTACATGTGCATTTTTTCAAAACCATGTTTACAATGTCCTTATCTGTCCCTTCCCTGACTTCATAGCCATTGTCACCATTACTATCCACATAGCAAGAAGTGTTAGCTATCTTGAAGTATTCATTGTAAAACTTCAAATTATGTGGACTGAAATCATTTGCCCATGACCTCAAAGCTTCCTCCCTTTCCCTCAACTGGTTCATCAACTTTATCCTTATCTCCTCAAGCACTTTAATGATTGGCTTTTGCCTTGCTTCAACCAGCCATGCATTCACTGATTCAGTGAAGTTATTCTCATCTTTTTGGTTCTTGCACACAGTATCAAAATAGGCTCTACACCAAGCATGTGGAGGATACTTTAACAATGATTCAACAGCTTCCTTACCCAGTTCCCCAATACTCTTCAACTGGTCCTTGAAATCTTCCTCATAAGAGCTCCAGGCACTCCACCATAGCAACTTCTTGAACTCATCTGTCCTCCATCTCTTGCACCAGTTTGCCTCTATGTGCTTCACACAAAACCTATGGTGTGAATCAGGAAGAACATTCTGGACTGCCTCAATTAATCCCTACAAAATGAAAGTGAATATTAGTAAACATGCAGTACTAAGGGTAATTAACAACAAATTAAAATGAAAGAAATAAAGATATCTAGACAGAATTCATGCCTTCTGCATATCTGACATAAAGGTAATTCCCTCACCATCTTTGAGATCCAATGACCTTTGAAGCAAATCCAAGAACCAGGTCCAAGTCCTTTTGGTTTCTTTATCAACAACTGCCCATGCTACTGGATAAGCCTGATTATTGGCATCTAGATCTACAGCAAGTAATAGCTGACCTTTTACTTTTCCTTTAAAAAAGGTACCATCTAAGCCAATAAATGGTCTCAGCCCTTCTCTAAAACCCATCTTCAATGCTTGGAAGCAAGTATACATTCTCAAGAATTTTCTGTTACCTTGTTCAAGGGCATCCTTTGACAAATTAATGACTATATCACTGCCCGGATTACTTACTCTAAGCTCATTGGCATATGCCTCAAGTCTATTGTAATCATCTGTGAAGCTACCATACCAGTTTCTCTAAAATCAGCCTCTTAGCCCTCTTGCACTTTCCGTAACTAACATTAATATTGAATGTGTTTTTCAATTCTACTCTCATCTCTTTTATCTTAAACTTTGGGTCATCTTGCACCTTCTTCTTGAAGTAATTTGCTATTGTATAATAATCAACCCTAGAATTCTCAAATGCTTCATCACATGTATGTTTTGCTTTTAAGGTCTTTACCCTAACCCCAGGAAGGTCCCCATCTGGAGTAATATAAACAATAAAGGGGCAGTCAAATACACATCCATATCTTAGCCTTTTTGGAGAACTTTTCAACAACTTTAGTTCCTTTTTGTTTGCTAAGGCATAGAAGTTAAGATATTTTCTTGCTTCAGGTATATCCTTGAAGCTCATACCCTTATACAATTCCTTATAATTATCCAAACCTGGCATAATCTCTCTTTTCTTTTGATTAGCAAATGTTTATAATTCATCACTATCATACTCTACCTCTCCAGAATTAGAATCAGATTCACTTTCAACATCACTACAATCAGTACCAACTTCATTTAATACAGTATAAGACTCAGAATGATGGACTATGTTAGTCACACTAATAGACTGCTCACACTCATCTACAATATAGAAATGAAGAGTCTTGAATTGATCATAGATTAGACACAACATATGTCTTATACCATCATCATCCTCAATCTCATAATAATTACTAAATGGACCATTCACAATTAGTTGTTAAACACCTACATTTCCTAACTCATTAATGTATAAGTCCACTAGATATTTGTACGCTAGAAGTTCAGAATCATAACCTCTCTGATATGGGACAACTTCTTTGAATACAAGACATGTGGGCTTGTGATCCAGTCCCCACCATAATGCAAGATTAGGTCCACCAATGACATCCTTGCTATTCTGTAAAGGTAACAATAAAAAATACCTAAGCAATTAAAAAAATACTAATAAAGAATACGGGGACAAACAACAAAAATTTAAATAACATAAACAATACTAATAAAGAACAATAACTAAGCAATTAAACAAAATAGAATTATAAATCATGTATGGATTTAGGGGAACACAAATAACATATAACAACTAGGGGACCACAAATAATTCAAGTAGTAAAGGCCCACTAGTACTAAAATATTCACAGATTGTGAGAGAACAACATTCAACACACCAGCACAAAGATATGCCAGACAAGAAAATGACTAAAAGGAACAAATGAAACCCCACATTATCATATCACCAACTTTAATGCTTACAAAATTCATAAAAGACTAAAACAAAACACATGCAAAGATATTCCACACAAGAAAATAAGACAGAAAGGTTAGAAAATAATATCTTAAATTAAGGCATAAGAAAACAAAACATATTAAAGCCCCAAAACGATTTGAGCATAAAACCCTAATAATAAACTAAGACAAATACACATAGAGGGGAGATAAACAAGTAATATTACGCGGATTAAACATACCTTTACAGAAAATTGATTCTTGAATCGGCAACATCGACTAAGAGAAGGCTTTCTTGAAGAACCCTAACTTTTGGTCTCGTGGTTGAAGGAAGGAATGAGGACCGATCTGTTTTGGGGTGTTCTTTAGTGATATACGGGCGGGTCGGATAAAATGAACCGGGTCGTGGGTTAATTAAAAAATAGGGGGTGGGTTTAAATCGTCCAATAAAAGACTGCCAAGTGGATATTTTAATTTTAAATGGCAGAGTAAACGGTGGAGGAACATTTTAATTTCTGGGCACAAACGGTAAGGATTTTTTTAATTAAATAGTATAACGAGGGCCAGATATGACTTATTTTAAATAGTAGAGGGACATTTTTAGCCCTTTTCCGTTTTCTTTTGGGTATAAATCTCAACAGATCTAAGATGATCCAAAAACGATGTGGGAGAAAGTAGGTAAAAAAAAGATACTAAAATTCCTAACGTAAATAAAGAGGAAAGTGCCAAATCAAATTGTTTTCAGTTCCAATAAATTTGACATAAATAAAAAAGAAGAAAAGACATTTTAAAAAAAGATCAAACTATTTTCAATTCCAAAATACTGATATAAAATATTCTTACAAAAACAGAGAGTTAAAGTCGATACCGTCAATCACAAAATTAAACACTTCATAATCCTTATTTGAGTATCTCAAAAATATGGCAAACATGTTGAAAAAATGCATATCGTACTTCATTAAAAGAAAATTGTTTTATATAGTTGATTGAAGTTCCAATATGTACATTCCAAATGAGTATCACATACATAATTCATCAATAGTTGTGGTAGGATTGATAAGATCCATCCACCCATATAGAGGTAGGGAGTGCTTTCTTGGACCTTACACGGTGCAAATCTAAATTAGTCGGGTCCCAAACCAGACACCGAATAAAAAAAATAAAAAATAGTCACATAAAAATTCTTAATATTAGTAAAATAACTATTACATTGAAGTTTGAAATCATCAAATCAAACAGTTCGCAAAAATAATTTGGTTGGGATTAAAAATTTACTCAGTTCCGGGAAGGTTACCATATACATTATGCATCATGGTTTATTTACATATAAGGAGCAATCAAAGAGACACAATAGCATGAAAAACAAAACAAATGAAAAGTATGAGGAACATATATACTCATAAGTAAATCAACTATACTAACCATAAAATACTTGTCAAAATACTTATTAGCTTCCTTGGCTTCTTGCTTTGCTCAAATTCTCACAAAACAAAACTGTCTGCTCTTTTCATCTCAATTTACAACGATAATGTATGAGTATGCATCAAATGGAGCAACAACAGCAGGCGTGGTAGGGCAGCTCATCGTAATTCCATAGAGGCGGTGAAACCTGCAAAATCCTTTGTTCATATATAACATACAATAATAATGGTATGACATACATTAATTCACGTTGTTGTTTTGGTGTTTGTTTACCCTAAAATTCGAGTAACAATTAAACTTATATTGTGGTTTTAAGGATATGTGATTCAATCCAATACCAATCGATAAACAAGGAATTAAATAGATGAATTAGAGAATAAAATAAATCAAACCAGTATGCTAGCCAAATTTCAACCTCGACTTGTGGTAGTCTCGAGGTGTGATAATGAGAATAGTAAATAATAAAGCAAATCTGATGAACAGTAAACGAAATAGCAAGAAAGTCATGGATGTATATATTCTTATCAGTGAACAATGATGCTTACAAATGAATGGGATCCCTCTATATATAATAGAGGAGTTCTAAACAAGGTACACTTCTAATTATAGTAAGAAATCATATTAACATCTAATTAACCGTTGCAGATCGATCCGTTCTGAGATTCACACTATGATTCTCGACCAATCGCGGATATCTCGCATTTTTTGTTATCAAGCCACACCGGTGTCACTCGAAGTCTGCCTCCTTTTGTCCGCAATCGAGGTCGACCTCGGGATGACTCGACGTCCTGGTTTTTTGACGTGACATTCTTATATTGACCAAAGTATAGTCCCCTCTTTTTTTAGAGAAAAATGATAAGAAACGACTTGAGCCTCGATTTTCTGGAGACCGCGATAGTGATGTCATCCCCGTGACGTAAGCGGTCGAGGTGACCGAAAGGTTCCATCGGTACAGTTCCCCAAACCATTAATGCTTGCTGGTGGTCGGTCGGCCACTAGAGCCACCGAACCGTCGTCGTGAATCTATAAATACTGGTTCCTTATTTGAATCAAAAATTTACTTCCACTTTCAACAAGTTTTCTAAGTCTTTTCCTCTCTCTATCTCTTCTCTTTCACCACCCGTTGAGTCAATTTCGTTAGTACCAAAACACCAAATTTCACCACTTTCTGCTTCCTTCTATCTGAATCAATGGCGAAAACCTGCAAGACCGTCCCACAAAAGGAGAACATTTTTTCCTCTTCTTCCCGGCCGGCCTATGATAAAACGCCGGTGAAACATCTCCCTCACGAGTATGTTCTCCTTCCTTGTGTCTTAAAATCCGACTTCAAATTCGAGAATCCTCTATCGGTCCCTAGCCGATGTGAACATGTGTCGAGATATATCTGCTCGATAAAGGCGGGCAATCTTGAGGCTGTGAAGAGAGATTGTAACTGGGGGGCTGAGGTCATAGTACAAATCCCCGCTCCCGAAGAGAGTATTACCACTCATGTGGAGGGGTTTCTAAGTGTCTTTACTTACCCTTTCACATTGGGTCCTCTTGACCCAGTTATCGTTGGCTTTTGCAAGAGGTACCACGTTACCCTCGGCCAGGTTCATCCCTCGTTCTGGTGCATAGTGATCATGCTCCGCTTCTTTCTAGCAAGGCCAAGGGGTTGGAATTCACTCTCAGCCACCTCATACGGTTGTATCGACCTCGATTTTTTCGAGGATTAATCAAGCTCCAACGCCGATCAACGAAGTCCTTTTTTTGAGAGGATCAATAAGGACAAAGACCGGGGTTGGATGAGCCGATTCGTGCAGGTAAGGACATGCGACCTCATCCCAGAGGAGAAACTGCCGTTTCCCGAGAAGTGGAACCCCGATCGTAAGTAACGTATTACCCATTAGTCTTCGAACTTCGTTTTTTGCTTTATGTAACATTTTCATCTGTTATGCAGTGGTTGCCTGGATGCCTCACGCGGTCCCCGACCTCAAAGATTGGGTTCGAAAGTTAGCCTCGACTTCCTCTCATGCCGAGCGGTGCTGGCGTGACTTGGCAAGGGGCAGATGGGAGGCCAAGAATCACGGTAAGCTTATCCTTTACGCTTTCGACGCCTTTTTGTAAAACGTTTCTTTTTTACTTATACTTGACTCCTTTTTATGCAGGCCTCGGGGACGTTGCTGAAATGAGGCCGGCCCCGCCTGGGGAAGAGGTGGCTCCCAAATTGTCTAAGGACAAGAAAAGGAGAAGGGACTCACCTTCCGATACCCCGAAGCCTAAGAAGAGTAAGGCTCGTAAGTCGAAGGATGAAGAAGAGGAGGGGGACGATGCTGGTTATGAGTTGGTGCCTCGAAAGAGGGGGAGCACCGAAGCTTCAAAAGCAGCTGGGCCAGTGATGGTCGAGGAGACTCACCCTCAGACCGAGGAGATCTCGGAAGATTCTCCGAGCAAAGTCCATGAGTCTTCGGGGGTCGAAGATATTTCCTGCCGTGATGAAAAACTGGCGAGTGTGCCCGAAGGGTCTGGTTCTAGGGCTCTTCAGAAGAGAGAGAGTGCCCCAAGTGACTTTCTTGGGGCAATCAATCTTGATGATTCGCCTCCCGGCCCTGAATTTTCTAAAGGGCAATTTCGGCAGGCTGATATATAGAAACCCCCGATGTAGGAACGACGCACGATAGGGAGGACATATTATGTGGCTGCCTTGCGGGGGTCGATGATGTTTTCGACCTAGATGCGACGATCATTTTTGATGAGGCCCAACGTCTCCTAAACCAGGTAAACTTCATCCCC